ATACATGGTATTGCTATAAAGAAAAACAAGAAATAACTAACATAAATATCATGTTTTTAGGAAGTGAGTAAAAGATAGGGCAATGTCACCGATGGGGGCCAAATCAACACAAATGTTGGTAGTGTCCTCTTATCTCTGCTAGTGACAAGAGTCTAAGCGTCTATCATGGGATACAGATGTTTCCAAATGCTTGTTTAAGTGTATGATTTATAATTTTTATTTTTTAAAGACATGAGTCAGCTCCTATAATTTTATTTCTGGAAATCGGAACATTTCTAATTTCTGAGGATATCTGTGATTCTGAATAGCTGAAGACACTGAAGATGCAAGGGTTCCAGATTAATTAATTAATTTATTTTATTTTTTTGCAGTACCAGAGATTGAACTCAGGACCCGGCACTTGCCAGGCAAGTGCTTGTTCTACTGAGTTATCTCCCTGGCCCACCGGATTTATCAACAACATTTCCACAGAGCAAAACATACATAAATAAGATAAAAATCAGGAAAAGAATCTTGGTTGAATAAATTTAAACAGTGGCATTCAGATGGCCTAACATTCAAGGGTATCACCATCTGAATTTAATGTTTTTTCTAAGCATATCTCTCAGAACCTCCCTGTGGTGCCTCTTTCCTTGCTAAGTGGGAGTTCCTGGGAAAGCCTTCCACTTCCAACCTTTATGCTGTGACTCTCTCTTCACTTGTATCTGCATTCCTGTCCCTTGCTCACTGACTGTCCTAGCCTAGCTTCTCCTGGGAAGCAACCACAGAAACTTCAATCTGAGGAACTCTGGTCCTTTTCTGAACTCTTAATAACTCCCCAGGTCTTCTAGAAGTTAATCCAGGTGCCTTACAACACCCACATTTTCACAAACTGTACCCCCTTTTCCTCCGAGATTTAAAGCTTGACTGTGCTTTCTATCCTCCCATCCAGGTAAATGACAGCTGTGTTCCAGACACAGGGTGCACATATACCTCCTAAAAACCTGCCCGTCATGCATCCACACCCTCTTCTCTAATCAGTGGTGATGTGCAGTGATTCCAGAACTCTGGAAAATCATAGAGTTATGCCAATTGCAGAGTTTTCCTGTGAAAGGTTAGAAGATGCATATTTTAGGTTTATTAACTTATTAATGACATAAGTTTTCACTCCTACTCCTCCTCCTCCTCATTCTTCTTGCCTTCTGCTTTTTCTTCTTTCCCTTTTCCTTCCAAAAATGAAAAAAGAAAGACTTCATTCTCAGGATTACATTATAAGCTCACTAGAGCTTCTGACCCTCACAGTAGGAAAAAAATCTTGAGCTTCCAAACAAAGATGAAGAACAGAATCTTCCCTCTCACCCTTCTAATTCCAACTCCCCATCCTAGCAACTGCTTTACTTTGTTTGTAATGAAAGTGATCCTTTATTCTTCTTCTGTGTTTTCTGTAACAATAGATGTGGGCACTTCTGTGGTGAAAACCACAAAAGCAAACAACTAGGGTGAGGTGGAACCTTGCAGAGTTCAGATTTGAAGAATTGGCACTCGTCCACCCCAGTGGCTCCTCTTTACTGCATGGCTGCTTACACCACACATATCTCATCTGTGACTACTTTGCTTGGTCCATGTTTTCCTTTTCTTTTTGTGGAACTGGCGATTGAACTCAGGCCCTTGTGCTTGCCAGACAAGCACTTATTCTACTGAGCTATCTCCCCAGCCCTGGTCCGTGTTTAGGAAACCATCATGATTAAATCCATCTGCCTACTCCAGAGAAGTATACTTCAGAACAATAGCTTAAAAATATCAAGGACAGAGAGAATCAGAGAAGACCATGGAGTGGATGACAAGGAACAGGTGTGTTCCATTACACAAACAGGATCTGGAAAGCCTCTGAAACTTCAGATATGTCTGACTCATGATATCAACTCTCCTTTCCTTACTTTTCTGAAATAGTCCACAATGGTCAAGTGTTTTCTCTTGTTTTTATTCTCAGTCCTTACCAATGCTTGTGGCTATACTGAGCATGGCCGGGTAGCTTTGGTAGCAAGTCAGAGCAGAGTGAGAAAATAGAGAAAACACACTACAGTCCGGTTCCCTCTGATACTTTGGCAGGATGCTGCTGCTCCGCTCTGAAGGAAGCACACCTTCACCTGCATTTGTACTTATATCTTCACGCGAAGTTGCTGCTGCTTCCCAGTGCTAGCTCTTTTTTCTTTTCTTGAAGCTCCAAACTTCACCATAATTTTTCTATCTGCAGCACACTCCATCATCTGTTGCTCATTCATGTGTGAACCTTGAGGGACAGGAAAAAGGCAACAAATTCTTGTACCTGTTCTTACAATGTACTTCTAGAACCAAAGGAGTCTTGTTTTTCTATTTTTTATTTTATTGAGAAAAAAATTGCAATGTGACAGCCTCAAAACAGGTTGGTGGGAGAGTTACTACAATTAATGCATTGCATATTGTTGTCTTTGTAGTAGTCATTCATAGCATAAGATGCAGACATGATATCCTGTCCAAACACTATTAGTACAAATATTTCATCTTATTGAATTAAGAGAAAGTAGCTATATATCTATCCTAACTATTTTGTATATATGGATACAAATTTGTCCTTCATTTATATCCCCTTTTTTGTTCAGTTTTGTCAGAGATGGGTATTCCATTGCCATCCAAATATTGTAGGTGCATGAATTCAGTAAAATATTCCAATATAGTCCAGTACTCCACAATAGTAGTGGATAATCCCACAGGACTGGCAATGTCTGAATCTGATGACTTGAGCCTTCCACAGCTCAGCAGATTAACATGTCTACTGAGCTATTTGCATGGTTAACATGGCTTCACTTTTCATGCCTCTTTCCTACACTTTTCTGCTGGATGGTTAAGACCAAGATAAAACAAGACCAATATAACAAAAAAATGTAACTTTGTTTTGATTGAGATATATTTGATTATAGATATGCTACAGTGCAGCATGAGGTCTATAGTTTGTAAGAATTTATTATGTACTTTATAAAGAAGAAAAATGTTCAGAGACTTCCAGCTCTCTATTTCTCTGTCTCTGTCTCTGTTTCTGTCTCTCTCTCAAAAAGTGATAAATATTTTTAAGAAGAAGAAAATGCTAATTATATTAATTTGATCCTTCTTGTAGTTTATGAGCAGATACCCCCCTCCACAAAGCCTGATGCAGTCATAGTCAACATTGGTAATGCTGCCAATCTATTCATAGATAATTTATTAACTTTTCTAAAGAACCAGCTTCCACTCAGTCCTCTGAGAAACTGTCATTGTATGCCTTTAGGGGGCAACAACAAATTTGATAACAATATGTAATATAACAATCACTATTAATCTTCTGTTCTTGTTTTGAAATCTGTATCATTTTTGTTTTATGTTGCTTTATTTTTGTCTTGTTTGTTTGTTTGTTTGTTTGGTATTTGGTACAGCATCTACAGAGTCTCCCTACGTAGATCAGACTTGTAGTGATCTTCCTGTTTTTGGCCTCCTAAGTGCTGGGATTACAGGTGCGTACCACCATGTCCAGTCTCAATCATAGTCTCAGCGTGGCTCAGGGATCTAATGCTGGCCACTGCGCTCTGCCTAAGCAGGCACTTTAGTCTGCTGAGTTATCTGGCCGGCCCTGTCTTTGCTCTTATTACTTGCTTTTGTGTTTATTTGTTTTCCTCTTTAAAATAAAAATTTTTAAAAAAGAAGCAACAGAAACACCATGGCCTAGGAGTGGCCTCACTCCTGGCTGTGCTGGCGCATTCTGCATTGCGGCGTCCGCCTTCCTGAGACCCCTATCCCGGACTGGAACCCTGAGGGTTCCATGCCTGCCTCTCACACTTCCGGGAAGCCTAGGTACGGATGGGGGTCGGACAAGTGCGAGCCGGGCTTTCCTCTCCCTTTCCACATGTGAAGAAACACACACCTGGTGTGTCCAGAATTGCCTTGATTGTGCTGAAGGGAAGGAGTAGAATTGACTTTTTGTCTAATTTTCTTCTGACACAATAATTTGAAGTATAACTTAATAAAAAGTGCAACTGTGCTGTTTCTTGAAATACGTTTTATAAAAGATTTCTGTTTAAGTAATTTTTAAGCATTTGATGACATTTCCATAAAGTGGATGAAAAAGTGAGAAGTTTAAAGATATAAATATCTCAGAAGGTGGCAGCCCTTGTTAAATTTTTGTATAAGACAATTCATAGAAAGTTACTGAAAAACAACCACATTCTTAGAAAGCTGCTCATTCCAGACTCAACCGGGTCAGTCCTGAGCTCATTCTGGGAGCCAACTTTCTGAATCAGATTCTGACACATATTTTTTTTTTTACAAGTTCTTGGTCTTTTCTTGAAACCTGCCAGGCATGTGGAAAAGTTAATAACTTTCTGACTATAATGTGCTCATGTCTGCAAACAATAGAGATGTGAAAAGGGAGAGATGTGAAAAGGGTGCCCTAGTTTTTACTCAGAATCGTCTTAGCAACATTAACAATGCAAACCCAGACCTGACATAAAGAGGTGCAGGAGACCGTGGCCCTTTGATCTTCATTTTTGTTTTGTCATGCTATGTTTTAATTTTCTCTGAAACAAAACCACTTAGATCTCAGTCTCAGATTATGCACTATGCAATGGGGTCTGTTGAATTCAAAAAGGAGTGCGAGGTTATTCGGAAATACAGCTTCTGTGACATGCAGGCATATTTAATCAAAATGACTATTTCTATGTTATTTCTGGACTGATTTAAAGGTGCATCTGAGGATGGTCATTGTGTGAATGGTTGTAATGCCTTCTGCGAATGCTTTATAGATGCAAATCGGATGATGTCATTTAAGAAGGTACGAACAGGACTGACCTAAATCATAGGATTATTTTGTCACTAATAATTTATTTTCTACCATTCATGCAGTGATATCTTCATTTATATTTGGAAAATAGCCATCAAACTATAAAAATTTCCTCATACTTCAAAAAACAATATGTCATCTTCAAACTAAAAATGAATGCTTTTTTTTTTTACAGCATGAAAAGTTCCCTTCCTTGGACTGCTATCCCATCTGTCCACAAGTTCTCTGAAAATTTTCCATAAGAAGTCCCAATTTGGACAGATAATTTGTGAAGGAGTGCATAAATTCAAGGAAGAACAGAAACTGTCCATGTTAACAGCTTCTGATGCAATCAATGGGATGGTTTACATTCCCTATCCCATTGATTACATCAGAATCTGTCAACATGGACTGTCATCTTCCTCCTGGAAGGTGTTGTCTGGAATGCTCTGCTCTATTTGTTCATGGCTTCCACCTGCTGGTCCTGTTTGAAGGTCACCTTGGAATGATCTTTTTGACCAACTAATCTAATTGTGTGTTTGCTGATATAATTGTCCATGCAGCGCTTAACACTGTCTGCTCCTTCTGGCTTCAGTTCACTTAGTGGCCATCTCCTTGAACTTGCAGAGCAAGAACTTGGTTTCATTTCTGCTGTAATCCAGCCTCTAGGATGGTGTGTGGTAGGTATAATGATTTGAGCTGTGTCTCTCGAAAAGCTGTTGATGTCCTAACCCTTAATATCTCAGAATGGCCTTCTTTGGAAGAGCCTTTACAGATAGATTTAGTAAAGATGTGGTCATAAGGGAGATGCGCTTATAAGCTCCAAAGATATGCTTATAAGAAAAGGAGAGAGAAGCACACCAAAAGAGCACTCTATGAAACACAGCCGCCTGGAGAAGCTGGCCATGTAACAGGAGGTAGACATTGGAGTCTTGTTACCACATCCAGGGCATGCCTGTGGCCATAAGAAGTGTGAAGAGACAGAAAAAGATCCTTTTCTTGCAGGTTCCACAGAACACTGTCACCACTCCCATTCTTCAAATTCTGATGACTGACATTCCGTCCTTGGACCAGCAACCAAATATTGGCCTTAAAAATGAAACTAAAGAAAAAAAATTTCTGTAAAAGCAAAAATGAACATAAACAAACAAAAAAAACCAACCCCCCCCCCAGTAAACAGGCTACCATTCTGTTGTATTTAGTTACATCGTCTTAAAATAATATTACTAAGGGGCCGGGGAGATGGCTCAGTGGAGTAAGCGCTTCCCTGGCAAGTGCAAGGGCCTGAGTTCAATCCCTGGTCCTGCAAAAGACAAAACAAAACAAAACAAAACAAAACAAAAAACCAAAAAATAATACTACTAAAATTTGATCAGAAATATGTGCAGGAGAAAGATTTTTTTGTGCTCATTATTATAATTTTGTGCTCATTATCTCAGTAAATTTGGAAGTTTCAACTGGCTTCCTTCAATAATTTAAAAATGATTTTTTTTTGCTTTCTTTGCAGTAAGGATACCACACATTTGGTGCACTGTAGAAAATGCAACAGTTGAACTAAAGCCAACTCCAGTCTTTCAAGAGAAATTTACATGGCACTCCCAGGTCGGAATATTAAAAACAGGATTAATCAGTGTCAAAAATGATGAAGAAAGATATGCTGTGGTCTCAATTCTCAACATCTGCCTGACCAAAATAGGAAGAGCTAAGCAAATGAAAATTCAAAATGTTTTCACTATTAAAATTGATTTTTAGTGAGCATTTTTTGTTTTTTAAATCTACAGTCACTTAAAGAACAATCATGGGCAGGCTGAATAGCTGAGAGGATTAAAGTGTCTGCAAGCAGGTGTAGGGACAAGGGGCTCGATCCTTGGCCTGCTGTGCCAGCCCACCTCCGGGGAACCCTGAGACAGCAATTGAGACTGGGCATGGTGGTGCACTCTGTAATCCCAGCTCTTGGGAGGCTGTGAACAGGAGCATCACTAGGAGTCTAATCTATGCAGTGAGACCCTGAACACCCTGTATACCATTCCTTACAAAAAAATAAAAAGAAAGAAAGAAAGAAAGAAAGAAAGAAAGAAAGAAAGGACAATCGTGTGTGTGTGTGTGTGTGTGTGTGTGTGTGTGTCCTGACAAATTTTCATTACAAAGCCCTTTGTAAAGCTATTGTAGCAAGAAGACCTTGGGTTTACATCAAATAACACCTCGTAGATCAGTGATAGTTTCTTCATTTGGTCCTTCCTAACATAAAAGTAAGATCTTCAGTAGGCATATTGTTCTATAATTGTAATTTACTCCTCTGTGTGTTGTACACAGAATTAAACACAGAGAGCCAAATGGATGTTCCCCAGACAAAGCGCGGAGTCACGTGCCGGTGGGAAGTGTTTCCTGACTCTAGCTGAGCGGCTCTCCCTGCACCGCTTGTCATCCCCACTGTCTGGCCCAGTGGCTCCAAACTTCCTGAAATAAAACCAAACTAAGCAAAACAATAAAAATGTCACTTCTCTGTGTTTTAGAATTCCAAATTCCTCTTACTGGAACACTAAATCTTTCAACCTTTCTGGATAATTTGCCTTCCAAAATTGATAGCCTTTTTATGGTTTTTGAAGTGTATTGTTTTCAACACGTATGGCATATATTTTAAATAAACTGATTTATTACTCCCAACTTCTGCTAATCTTTGTATCAGATGCACAATATTGGCTCATTAAAGTTAATCCTTGTTTTTAATTCTGTAAATGCCTCCTAAACACTCTCTCTATGAAATATTAATGGAATTTTACATGTGGGCATGTAATAGGAAAAAAGGCAGTTAGAAAAGCAGTTGTTTAGTGAATTTGTCAATTGCTCCTTCCAAGTAGACTTGTTGGTCAAATGATTCCCTAATCTGATTCATCATTTTCATTTTAAGAAAGAATCTCATGTAAAATAGGGTATATTTTATCAGCGTTATTGCCAGTAACCATATCACCATTACCATTTTGCAATTTGTAGAAAAACCAGCATTATCTGGTAAATTGGCAAGATGACAGAGTGGATGGTCATTAAGTTTGAAATAGCTGATTCAGTTCTGCATGAATTTGGGGATCCCTATCAGGTCAGGGGGGAACCTCTGTGTTTAAGCTTCCATGTCATGTAGACTGATAGAGTAACAAAATAGTATTGTTACAGAGATCTGAATAAATCAGCTGAAATCTCTGCTGTCCCACCTAAGTTGAGCATGCTCTTGCAAGGGTATCTTTGGGACTATGTAGTTAGCAAAGGCACAGATAAGAGCTTCAAGGTGGGATGTGGTGTGTGTGTGTGTGTGTGTGTATGTGTGTATACCTAAACCTACATGTATGTGTGCATGTAGACAGATGTTTAGTAAATAATTTAATCTTTTATTAACTTACTTATTTAGTACATGGTCTCACTATGCAGCTTGGACTCATAGTGATCCTCCTGTCTCAGCCTCCCCAGCACTCTGATTACAGGCATGCGCCACCATCCTTGTTTTCTGATGCACTGCATGCAGTACTGGGAATCAAACCCGGGTCCTTGCACTTGACAGGTAGGCGCTTAGACCACTGAGCTATCTCCCTAGTCCCATTAGTAAATAATTTAACATCTATGTTTTATACAGTTAAAAGAGGAAAGATATCATCAAAGAATGTCATGTGTGTGTATGAATCTGCCAAAGTAAACGAAGCCCATTAACGTGTATAAACAATGAAAAAGAGAAGAAAAAAACTAAAATACCGAAGGAATTAATTAAAAGTTTGAGTCAAGAAAGCTCACTAGGTTACAAAAAAAAAAAAAAAAAAAAAAAAAAGAACAGTGTGACTTTTTCATAACAATTTAGAACAAAAATACTTTAAAGTTATTTTCTATTTGAGACAACTATTCAGAGTCATAATGAATCCAAATTAGTCTAGCCTAGAATAAATGCTTAACTAACTCAGTGCCTTTATTTTGCTGCCAGAAAGGTGGTTTACCTGGTTAGTGTAATCCTGGGAGGTTTTTGCTGTTTTGTGTGGTGCTGGGAATCCAACCCAAGGCCTCATGCGTACTAGGCAAGTGCTCTACTGCTGAGCCCCAGCCCCAGCCTGAAGTCCATGGTGTTTGACTAAACAGCCTCAGCTCGAATACATAGGTAGCTGAAGAGAAGCCCAGAATGAACTTCTGTGAAATTCCACGTGTGAATAGGCACATTGCTATTGCCATGCTGTCATTTTCATAAGAGGTGGTCAAGAGCTCAGGTTCCCAGATTTCCTCAGTGGAAATTTGGTTCTAATTCTTATTGCCTATGTGACCTTAGGTCACTTTAAGCACTCTGTACTTATTTTCTTCTGTAGTAAATGAAAATCATAGGTGAACCTTCTTCACTGGCAAGGACTAAATGGGACAACACTTGCAAAACGTTTAACAGAACTTGGCACATAAATGTTGGCTCAGTGAAGACTGAAAAGAAGAAGCACAGGAAGACTATGCCTATTTTATAAGTGAGACAACTTTGAGTTGAGAAAACTTCAGTAATTGTTAAGCAAGTTGCAAAACCAGAATGTGTGGCTTAACCCCTAATTTGGCCAGGTCTGCTTCATCCCAGTTCCTTCTAATGAGAAGGTCAGGGAGCTGAAGAGTACTGAGACCCTCCACCGTCAGAGCTGCCTTCTGTGGGCTTTCTGAGTTCATACAGCCCTTTTGTGGCTTCCCAGCTTCTGTGGCAATCTGCCAAGCCCTGAATTGCATACCATCTAGGTGGCAGAAGTCAATGAGAATATTCAGGTGACAGTGCAAATATCGCTTAAAGCTGAGTATGACCCCAGATTCCTTTAGCTAATTTTCAGTTCTTAAGGACAGGTCACTTTTCTGACTAACACTGATGTCAAACATCTTACTTTTATTGACCCTTTTTCTTTCCTCTGCTGTGAATTGACTGTCCACATTTGCCATTTTCTAATTAATTTTTAAGAGCTCCTCACGTACTAGAGATTTTAAGCCATTATTCTATATGTGTGATAAATATTTTTTTCTCAGAAGTTTAGATTTCTTTGCTTCATACTACATAGAAATTATACACTTTTATTTAATAAGATTTTTTATTATTTAAATAGAATTCAGAATTTTTTTAACATGGTACTTGAAGTACTATGTAGAAAAAATAGTACTTGAAGTACTTGAACTATACGAATAGTTCCTTCAAAATATATTCAATTATTTGCTATTATTTCAATTTCTTACCATTATTTACTATTTTTATATTTAATTTTTCCTAAAACTTCTTTTAGTGTCTTTATATATATTTTTGTATTATATTTAGTTCCTCAATAGTTTTAGGATTTAATTCTAGAAGTGACTAAAATGTTATTTTATTATTTTTGTTATTTTATTATTAAAGAGAATATAAAATAGCAAAGAAAGAAAGTACAAAAAAAGTTATTTTCTTATGCATGGACAATCAATTATTCCAATTATTCTAAGCCCAATTTTGGATGCATTTTGTATACATATAATGAGTGTTATATATTCTTTCTCAGTGGCTAAAACTCTCAAGTATATTTAGATCTATGTATGATCCTTTTTTTTTTTCGGTACCAGGGATCAAACTCAGGACTTTGCACTTGCCAGGCAGGCGCTTATGCCTCTGAGGTATATCCCCGGGCCCAGGGCCCTATTCTTGTCCATTGATCTATCTGTTTCATTTAAGTGTCTTCTTGCTTTTATTAGAGTAGTTTTATACTAGGTAGCCATTAAGTGATGTGCCTCCCCTCCCCTTTTTGAAGCAGGGCTGTGAAGTTCATTAGACACCTTCCTTTCCAGATATGTAGTAGCTTCCAGCAGGCCAGGATGCAGCCTTCTTATAGATTGGCTTTCTTATGAATGAAGGGTTATAACTTGCTTATGAAAAAAATCTTTCAATGTCTGAAAAGTCACACAAGATGACATTCTTGAATTTTTTTTTTTTTTTTTTTGGTGGAACCAGGGATTGAACTCAGGCCCTTGCCCTTGCCAGGGAAGCGCTTATTCCACTGAGCCATCTCCCCTTTTCCACTGAGCCATCTCCCCAGCCCCTGGCATTCTTGAAATTTTGTCCAATAATATCACCAGTGAGTTGAGCCTGAATTTGTATTAGAATTGCCATTGTCTTTAACTTTTGGAATTGTTGTGACAATATCATACAAAAACTGGTCAGTAAAGAGTAAAGATAGCAAATTTCATCACTGAGAAAGATTATGATCTT